AAAAAAAAAAAAAAAAAAAAAAGTCCCGCCTGGGCAATTTAGCAAGGCCCTAACTCCAATACAAAGGGCTAGGAACTAGCTCAGTGTGAAGGCCCTGTATTCTATTCCAAATGCTTCACAAAATAAATAAAAAGATGGGGTTATAGTTTAGTGGTAGAGTGCCCTTTGGGTTTCATCCCCAGTACAGGGGTTGAGGTATTCATGATAAAAGCAGTTATTTCAGTTTTCAACTTAATTGACTTTTACCTCAAGAAACGCACTATATGCCAGGTATGGTGGCGCACCCCTGTAATCCCAGCACTTGGGAGGCTGAGGCAGGAGGATCGACTCAAGTTTGAGGCCAGTCTGGACTTTGAAATGAATTCAAGGACAGCCTGAACTATAAAGTGAGACCCTGACTCAAAAAGCAACATAAAGGTCCCAGGATTTAGCTCTGTGGTTTCCATGCCTGCCTTGCAAGCACACGGGCCCAAGTTTGATCCCCGGTACCAAAAACAAAATGTAATAAAATTAAAATTAGTAATTTTTACTGCTTCATCAAGGACTTCTATATATGTGTGTGTGAGATGCTGGGGGTGGAACGAGACCTGCTCTGTAATGAACTATATCCCTAGCCCTTTTTATTTTGAAACAGTATTACCAAGTGCTGGGGATTTAGCTCAGTGTTGCTGCGCCTACCTTGTAAGCAGAAGGTCCTGAGTTCTATTCCTGGTACTGCAAAAAAGAAAAAAGGAGAAATAGAGTTTCACTAAAGTTGCTTAGGCTTGCCTTGAACTTGGCAGTCTTTCTGCCTCAGCCTTCTGAGAAGCTAAGATTTTAGAAATATACCATGTAGCCTGCCTTCAGGGACATTCTTAAATAGAACTGGTCTTTTGTTTTGTTTTTCGTTTTTGGTACAAGAGGTCCAACTCAGAACATTGCACCTGCAAACTGGTCTCTTTTTTTAATCCCTGAAAGTACATGGCAGTGAGAAGTGAAAGAACTAGTTAACGGTTTGATTTATGCTGAGGCACCAGCAGTTATACCTAGAGTAATATTTTCTTAATGTGTTTTAAAAAAGGCAAATGATATTGGGTTTTGTGGGGGAGAAGTTGACACAGGGTATTCCTGTGTCAACAAGGCTGACCTTGAACTGACTAATAGCAATTCTTCTGCCTCAGCCTCCTGAGTGCTGGGATCACAGGCTTGCGCCACCACACCTAGCTAATAATGTTTAGTATTAGAATACAAGTATGTTTATGAATATCCTCGTGGATCCCTGTGAAAGCTTGTTCATGACCTCCAGAGGTCCATAACGCTACATTTTACTGCTGACCTAAACAGATCAGTGTTTGACCAGTAAGTTTGCTATCTTTAAACTTTGATCATTATTATATATTTACATCATGGTCAGATGAAAAACAGGGTTGTAGATATAATTTAATTTAGAGACCTTGACGTGTCCTACTTCATTTTGCCATCCAAACATCTGTAAATCACCAGAGTAGGCAGTTGCTAAAAAGTAGTTCCATAGTTTCCACCGTGCATCAGTTTCACGGTGGACATCCCCTTGCTCCCTTCGTGAACATCAAGTGCTTGTTTTATTTGTACAGTACTATGTTCCTAAAAATAATATTGTGCAGTTGGTCATTTCTTTTCTGTTTTTGTTTTTTGAGACAGTGTCTCATTGTCTTTCAGGTGGCTTTGAACTGTGGCAATTCTCCTGCCTCAGCTTCCTGAGTTCAGTCCCTAGTGCCACCAAAAAAAAAAAAAAAAAAGATAAAAGAGACTACTGAACATATTCTGTTGGCTATACTATATTGTATTTCTACTTCGCGATTTGTGAATAGTCTAGTGTTTTTTACATTTCCATTATGGGGTATTATCATTAAAAAAGTTTTTTTTTTTAGGCATTACAGTAGGTGTGTGGTACATGATGTGTGTTGTGTTGACCCTCACACTTCTGTGAGAAGAGAAATAACTTTTCGGTATTGTTAATGCCTAACTGCTTTCTGTGTCAGTGCTTACAGGAGCTTGCAGGGCTGGGTCAGGGCTCCTCAAAAGATTCCACGTGCTCTGACTGAGATTTAACGCAGGACAGAAATGTACAAGATTGGCCCACAGTGGCTGCCCACAGGGTCAGATGTAGGAGAGCAGGAGGGCCCACCGAGGCCTGGAGCAGGAGGCGGAAGGGTGCAGCACTGGGAGGGCAGAGGGTCAGCGCTGGAAGCTGAAGAATCAGCTGAAACCCCTCCCTTGAATTCTCCTTAAAGTGGGACTCACGCCCAGAACCAACCTGACTCAATTCAGTTGGGCGTCCCGCTCCAGTTAGCATTCAGCTGACCTCACACTTTCTCCAGAGGTGTAACAATCTTACTGGAAGACTTCTACCTTTCTTTCCTTTCTTCCTCTCTTCCTTCCTTTTCCTATTCATTTATGTAGGTTTTTTGAGCCAGGGTCTCACTCTGCAGTTCAGGAGGGCCTTGAACTCACGGTACAGTGTGGGCTCCTGAGTGCTGGGACCACTGCATGCACCATCATGCCCGGCCTCAGCTGTCATTGCAGTGGGCGAGATCCTATTTTATTGATTCTCTACACTAGAAAGGATGTAATATAGTGTACATTTTTCCAAACTATTTTCTGGAGATTGAAAGTGAGAGAACTATCATTGAAGACCCGAAACTGCCAAGTACCTGACTGTTAGATGAGGGGGAAGGGAGTGATCTGCTCGTCCTTGTGAGCTGAGTCCTGCGCGTATTCACGTACGGGGGTCCTTGTGTAACACACTCTGGGTGGCTGTCCTTGGGTTTGCATTGCAGCTTCCTGAAAACCTCCGTTCCTATGCATGAAGATGTCTCTGGTGGACTTGGGGAAGAGGCTGCTGGAAGCAGCAAGAAAAGGCCAAGATGATGAAGTGAGGACGTTGATGGCCAATGGTGCCCCATTTACCACAGACTGGGTAAGTTTAGCAAAAAAGCAGAAAAGCCACAGTTACTTTTCAAGTGTGCCATCACCGGCCCTTTCCTGTCCTGTCCTGCCTTTCCTGCCTTTCCTCCAGTGCTGGAGATTGAACCCAGGCCTTGTTCATGCTAGGCTAGTGCTGCATCACTAAACTACATCCCTAGCTCCTTTTTTTTTTTTTGGTACCAAGGATCAAACTCAAGACCTTGCATTTGCGACGCAGCTGCAGTGCCACTGAGCTAAATCCCTAGCCCCATCCCTAGCTCTTTTTATTTTTTGAGACAAGGTCTTGCTAAATTCTTTGGCATGGGCTTGACCTTGTGATCCTCACGCTCTAGCCTTCCAATTAGCTGGGATTACCAAGTACCACTGCACCTGGCTCCAACCCTTTCCTTTTAGGTACCAGGGAATCGAACTCAGTTCCTTATGCTTGTGAGGCAGGCATGGCTCTACTGAGCTAAGTCCCTGGTTTTTTTTTACCTTTTTGGGGGGAAGTAGGTGGGTAGTGAAGATTGAACCTAGGGCCTATCACTGAGCTACATCCCCATCCCATTTTTTATTTCATTTTGAGACAAGATCTGGCTAACCTGCTAAATTGTCTATGCTGGACTTGAACTTTTTTTTTTTCTGGTAGTGGGAATTGAACTCAGGACCTTGTGCTTGTGGTGCCACTGAACTAAATCCCTGGCCCTGGACTTGAACTTTTGATCCTTCTGTTTTAGCACCCCTCCCCCAAAAACGCTGGTATTAAAGGTGTGCGCCACCACACGCAGCTTCCAACCTTTTGTTTTGTTCTATTTTTTTGAGACAGGGTTTCACTATGCAGTTCAGACTGGCCTTGAGCTCACTGTGTAGTCCAGGCTGGCCTCAAATTTGCAGCAGTCTTCTTGCATTAGCCTCCTGAGTGCTGAGATTACATATGTGCCACCATGCCCAGCTGTCCAACCTTTTAAAGGGTAAACAGACATTACTGATTGTTTTCCGTACTCTATCCCCTCTACAAGTTTGTCTCACCTGAATATGTAGTTTTCAAAATTGAGAATCTGTGTATATATAGGTGGTATTTTCTAAAGTTTTCTGTAATGTTTTTTAGAATATTTCCTAAAGGTTTAATTCTCTCTGGAGTGTGCTTAGGTTTTAGACTCTAATTATCCAGAAAATAAACAAAATCAGCATAATGAGTGGATTTCTCAGGTAATAAACTCATTATTTCTTTTCCTCTAATGTGTTCTGGCTCATAAAGAGGAGTCTAGCTTTTTGTTTCATTTACCTCTCTAGGAAAACATGAAAGAGGAAGGGATCATTTAATGAGCTTACACAGTCACTTTGGAGGCCAGAGAGTTTCGGAAGATCCAGGTGCAAGTGATAATATGGGTTTTTTTTTTTTTTTTAAGAATTTGCAGATTTTGTGATCATTGACTAATTTTAACCATTTCAGTGAACAAGTCATCTTTATTGTGAGGTAATTAATTCATATATTCAGAAGCCAACAGGTTCTTAATGCTGCACAAAAAAGCAGCAAAGATTAGCATTTCTGTAAGTAAACCTGAAAAGAGCAATGTGAATTAAGTCCAGTCAGGCAGAGGCTAAATATATGGGAAGCAAAGAATAAACTAAACAGGCTTAAAATAGCACAATATACAGAAAGGAACAAATCTGTCGGGTGCATCCTGGGAGATTAACTCTTGGAACATTTTCTTGGAGGTGATGCCTGCCGACTTGTGTATTGCTGTCAGTGTGCTGTTGCTAAGTTCTTGATGCCTCTTCATCTCATCGGTACTTTTGCTATGCTTTACTGTGGCATTAGTAAACAGTAGAATATCTGTTCTTATCAATCAAATTTGCACCTTAGATTCTACATGTAACTTTCTAGTCTCTGCCCTTTTCCTTTTCCTCCAGCCTCCCAAGTGCTGGGATTACAGGCATGCACCACCACACCCGGCGCTATACTGATTTTTAAATGAAATCATTTCCAGTCCCATCTACCAGTCAGTCCCTCCCTCCGACCACAGAACAGGCACCGAAGGAGTCACTTCCTGTCCCCGCCCCCAGCAGCGGCCCAGGGCTCTGTGCATGCAGGTGTCCAGTGAGTGTGATCTCCCCACAGCTTGGAACCTCCCCGCTGCACCTTGCAGCCCAGCATGGACACTACTCCACTGCAGAAGTGCTGCTTCGCGCTGGCGTCAGCAGGGATGCCCGCACCAAAGTGGACAGGACCCCTCTGCACATGGCCGCAGCCGACGGACACGCACAGGTCGTGGAGCTGCTCATTAGGGTAAAGCAGGGTCAGGTGGGGCTGTGTGGGAATGGCTTCCGCCTCCCTGTGGTCTCAGGCAGTGGCCTGGGAGGGGGCGAGTGTCCATCGTGTGGAGTGCTAGAGTCGCAGCTCTTTCAGGTGTCAGCATGGCTATGAGGAGTTTGTTTTGTAGTTTTTAAAATACTAAATGGATTTTATTGATTTTTTTTTACATTCGTTTTCTGCAGGTGTTCTCTGTTTTTATGCCTATTTTTTAGGCACTCAGCTTTCTGTTAATAAATGCAACAAAAATCTGTTCCTTCCCCTTCCTCTCCCATCTGTTATAATTCCCCAAAGATGTCCTTAGAAGACCCACTCTTTGAAAACATAATGTCTTTCAGCCTTCAGAATTTCAGAAATGTTTTTTCCTTTTGATGTTGCTTCAGCGTGATCTAAATTTAAGTATATAGAATCGCTGTGGAAATTCTGTGCATTTTGGTGATGGAATCTTGCACCTGTGCTGCTGTCCCGCTGTCTGTTGAAGAAGTGCTTTTCTCTGACAGAATGGTGCAGATGTGAATGCCAAGGACATGCTGAAGATGACAGCTTTGCACTGGGCCACAGAGCACCACCATCGGGATGTTGTCGAGCTGCTTATCAAGTACGGGGCTGATGTTCATGCTTTCAGCAAGTTTGATAAATCGGCCTTTGATATAGCTCTGGAGAAAAACAACGCTGAGATTTTGGTCATCCTGCAGGTATGATTTTTTTT